ATAAATGATATTTGGAAATATATTCACTAATTAGATATTTTTATATAAATTTTTGATGAGTTAGATGGTTGAATTTTTAGTAAAAAGATGCCCTATATCATTTGTGGTCTATATTCAAATAGTTGGTATTATTAAAACTTATTTTCAAAGTAAGAATTATTCTTGATTCACGAAAGATAGTTTGTATTATTTAAAGTCATTTTCCCTAGAAAAAATGACCAACTTTGCTATTGAATTTTGAATTCCGCTCATCAAAACTTAAATAATCTATAACTCTTATAACATAAATACCTTAAAAAATTTAAATGATAAGGAAAAAAATTATGCAAATAACGAGAATAGACATTCAAATATAAGCAATACTTCGTCCGTCCCACCTAAAAGGCTGTTACACAATTTATGATGTTCGACAGACCATGAAATTAAACCAACCGATCTATGTCAATAATAAGATTATTTTTAGTAAATAAAATTTACATATTTAGAGACTACATTAAAAGTTTTATAAAGTAAAAAAAATCAAAGTTGATAACAATTGAATATATAAAGAAATTAAATGAAAAGAGATCATTAATTGAGGGTATTTTCGGAAGAAAATTAGATCACCCCGGGAATGTGAGATAACCTAAGGCATGGACGGATTTAACATTCCCATCCATATTATATTACATTCCCGGGAATGTAACTTTCCTGATTTTTTTTCAAACCCGTGAACCAAATAAGGGTATCTAACATTCTATATATGCATCACATTCCGGCCTTCACGTGAGATCACCCCAATCAAACGGACCCTAAAGCTTTTAGGGGATCGCCACCACTAAGTGGAGTTAGAATGAATTGTTCACATTTGTTCTTTTCTTGATGACACACTCTCCCCGTGTTTCGGCCTTGCGTTTCAGGCATCCTTTTAGAACACTCACTACACTATACGGTCAAATGGTCAATAGTTGGTTTTAGTTTCTATTATTACGTATAACCGAACTCGAATTAGTGAGACATTGTCTTCCATTTCTGTCTTATGTTTTCTCTTTTACTTCATTGTCATTCAAGTATAAAAAATTGAAAATAACTATGATAAAAGTTACGGAGTATTACTATATAGTCTATAATCATTACAGTATAATTATAAAAAATATTTGAATGAAGTCAATTGATCCTCATTTCATTTATATATGAAGTGTCATATTAATTTTTAGAAAATATACCTCTACCCAAATAATTATAAAAACATTTGAATGGTATCACGTTACACCACTTTCATGTATGTTAGAACATTACTCTCAATTGATGTGGTTGGATTTATCTTGTCAAGTGTGTTTTAGAGGCTCATATGACGTGTACATGTCCCTATTTTTAAGGGAACTATATGGCTTTTAATTTGCCTTTTGGGATTGTCAATAAGATTGAATATGTTAATGTAACCAATTACATGTGATTGTCAATATACAGAGGTGGCTATCAAGGCAACCATGAAATCTTCCCCAAAATCAATGCCAGTCGTTCCCAAGGTAATAAATAATTTTATTATTATTATTTTTATCATAATTTTTTTTATTATTTAAAAAAATTAAATGCTACTCCGTATTTAATTTTTTTTGAAACTAATAGACTTTTGTGGAGAAAAAATTAGCAACGAAATCAATAAAAATTCATAGAACAAAACATATGTATTTTAGTATTCCTATTTCATTTTATTTATGTTATATACTTATACTTATATACACTCAAGTTCTACTTCTATGCCAACGTAATTAATTTTAGTCTCCCTACATATATGCATGTATCATTGCTTTAGAAAAGAAGAGTTACGGGAAAGACGATAATATGAAAGGGTTAATTGTTGTCTGAAAATAAAAATAAAAATAGGAGTACTAAGAGCTAGTGGGATTCGTGGCAACATTTGTGTTAGAAGCCTGGGGAGTGGGGAGGCTGGAGGCATGAAAGTTTCGAAAGCATTTAGCATATATATGCACTTAAAATATTTGAATAAGAACATTTTAAAAAGTGAGAGATAATAGTTTTTGGAGAATGATGGCTTACCAAAGTGGTAGCCCTAGAGGTGTATTTATATTAATGAAGAGATAAATAATTACACATAGGTCCTTAATACAATAATAATAATAATACGCTATTACACCCCCTCAATCTGTGCGGGGGAAATTACGTGCAGATTGGACCGTAAAAATTCAAAACGTTGACTAGTCAAGTTCTTCGTGAAAATATCTGCCAGCTGGTACTGAGTAGGAATATATTTGACCGAGAGATCACCATGAGCCACTCGCTCACGAACAAAATGATAATCAATTTTAATGTGCTTACTGCGGTCATGCTGTATAGGATTCACTGCAAGATAGGATGCTGAAACATTATCACAAAATAGCTGAACTGGGTTAGGAAGTACGATGCCCATATCGTACAGGAGTGAGCGAATAAATAAAGTATCTTGAACTGTATAGGCAACAGCACGGTACTCAGCTTCGGTGGATGATTTAGAGACTGTGGGTTGTTTCTTGGAACGCCAAGACACTAAATTTCCACCTAGAAAAATTGCATAACCCGTAGTAGAGCGGCTTGTATCCGGACATCCAGCCCAATCGGCATCAGAATAGGCGACAACAACAGAGATATTCTGCCCGGAGCGAAGCCATAAACCATGTGTGGAAGTACCCTGCAAATACCTGTAAATTCTTTTCACAGCAGCAAGATGAGTAGTACGTGGTGCATGCATAAACTGAGAAACTAGGTGAACGGCATAAGTAATATCTGGTCGGGTAATCGTCAAATATTGTAACGCACCTACCATGCTGCGATACTCAGTACCGTCACTAAGGAGCTCACCATCAGTGAGGGATAATGTAGTGCGAGACGGAAGAGGGGTACGCACCGGTTTAACCGTATGAAGGTGAAACCGGCGAAGAAGATCAGTGATATATTTTTGTTGAGACAAGAAAAGACCACTAGGAGTTCGGTGCGCCTGAATACCAAGGAAGAAATGTATATCACCAAGATCCTTCATGGCGAACTGGGTAGACAAAGTTCGTATAAAATGATGGACTAGAGATGGTGAACTGCCAGTGATAAGAATATCATCTACATATAAGAGAATGTAGAGAGTGTGAGAAGAAGATCGTAAGATGAACATGGAGGAGTCTGATCTACTCTGGGTAAAACCAAGTGACAAAAGAAAACCACTAAACCGATGAAACCATGCTCTAGGTGCTTGTTTGAGACCGTAGAGAGCTTTACGAAGACGACAAATATGGTGAGGAAACTGAGGGTGAATGAACCCCGGAGGCTGGCGCATATACACCTCTTCGGTGAGGTTACCATGGAGGAATGCATTTTTGACATCTAATTGACGAATAGTCCATCCCAAGGAAATAGCAACAGAAAGAACAAGACGAACAGTGGTGGGTTTAACAACAGGGCTAAAGGTCTCAGAAAAATCAACTCCAGCTTGTTGGTTAAACCCTTGAGCAACCAAACGTGCCTTATGGCGCTCAATAGAACCATCAGACTTATATTTTGTTTTATAAACCCATTTACAGCCAACCACATTTTTCCTCAAGTCACTAGGTACTAAATCCCAAGTTTTATTTGCAATTAAAGCATTAAATTCTTCTGCCATTGCTGCCCGCCATACTAAAGATTTATTAGCTTGAGTAAAACATGTAGGATCATTTGGGAGAGCTAAAGTGTTCAAATTAAAAATTGTTTTAGGTTTAAAAATTCCATCTTTAGCTCTCGTGCGCATGGGGTGAATGTTGGGAGCCATCCGAGGCGGAGAGGGTGACGGGGTAACCGAATTACTGGAAGAAAGAGGACTGGCCGTAGGGCTGGTTGAGGGTGTTGAGCTAAGGTCGGGAAGGACAAGGGGACTGGTCGTAGATATGGACGTGGGTGTGGGACTCGGATATGGGGCTGGACTAGTGGTCGGGCTTAGTGTAGAAGGGATGATGGATGGGGCATGATGTACATCTGGACTGACATGAGCCGAAGCAAGCTGCTGATCGAAGGTAGTCATGGGACGGGTAATACCTGACACAGGTGTGGGAGCAGTACGGGTGGATGTCCAAGGCAGTAAAAACGAGTTTGATGTGTGAGGAGTGGAAATCAAGGTAGGATAGGGAAAAGTGGTTTCATGAAAAATAACGTCCCGGCTAATGTATACACGCCCTGTCTGGGGATCCAAACAACGATAACCCTTGTAACCCGAAGCATACCCCAGAAAAACACAAAAAATAGACCGTGGGGAAAGTTTATTGGAGGAGGAGGCAATAATGTTAGGAAAACAAGCGCAACCAAAAACGCGCAGGAAACTATAGTCAGGTGGTTTTTGAAACAGTTTCTCGAACGGAGACACATTGCCCAAAACAGGGGTTGGTAACCGATTTATAATAAAAGTGGCTGTATATAGGGCATCAACCCAAAAAGAATTCGGCAGACTAGCATCAATTAGCATAGTCCTAGCCAATTCAAGTAAATGGCGATGTTTCCGTTCTGCCACTCCGTTCTGAGCTGGTGTATCCGGACAAGATTTTCTAAAAAGAATTCCACACTTAAGAAAATGGTTGTGAAAAGTGGTATTAACAAACTCACCTCCTCCATCACTCTGAAAACATTTAATTTTTGTATTAAATAAATTTTCAACTAAGTTTTGAAAATTACAAAAATGCAAAAATACTTCAGACTTTCTATGCATGGGATAGACCCAAGTGAACCTAGAAAAATCATCAATAAAAGAAACATAATATTTGAAACCTAAATTAGAAAGCACAGGTGATTGCCAAACATCAGAATGTATTAGCTGCAAAGGAGCTGAAAAACCATGAATAACATCTGTAAAGGGAAGACGGTGGGACTTGCCCAGCGTACAAGACACACATTTATGCGAAAATAAACTAGAACTAGTAATAAAATTATTTTTCCTAAGTGTAGACAAAATACGATCCCCACAATGACCAAGTCTTTTATGCCAAACTGGACCAGGCACAAGTGCTGTCTTGAAGGTCAGAAACGGGGCAGGTTGATGGATAGCTGTGAAGGGATAAACGCAGTCTTTATTGGTTGCTTGAAGAAGGATGGCCCCCGTGTGGTTGTCCTTAACAAAAAAAGAATTTTTATTAAAAATAACTGAGCAATCATTATCCGCACATAAACGTTGGATAGATAACAAATTATATTTAAGCTGCGGAACATGATAAACTCTATTCAGTACAAGTGGGCGGCCAGAAGTAGTTAAATTAATTGTGCCAATATGAGAAACTGGAAGATTTTTGCCATTAGCAACTTGAATAGAACGTGAGCCACTATAAATAGATTTATTCAATAAAATACCTTCTGATGGAGTCATGTGAGCTGAAGCCCCAGAATCAGGGTACCATACAGATTCATTTGATTCGCCTGTGGGAAGAGCCACCAAAGCTGGAGCAGACGGGTTGACATAACGAGGACAGGCCAAAGCAGAATGACCAGGAGAAAAGCATATTTGACAAACTATGGGTGGTGGGGGGGACTGAAAATTATCAACTGATGGAGAACCTACCAAGTTAGGATGAGTAACACAAGCAGAGAAAGCATTAATATTGGCAATAACACGACCAAAATTACCTAAAACCGTACCTTGAAACCCAGGAGCATGTGGTGCACGTGGAGCAAAAGCTGGAGGAGGATTCTGCCAGCCAGGTGCACCATACCCCGGAACGGGAGGTCCACGAAGCTGCTGGTAAGGCTGGCCGGCGTACTGCTGATGATTCTGGCCTCCATAACCGCGCCCCCTGCCACGGTGTCCGCGCTGCCTGCCGCTACGATAACCGCGGCCACCACCATTCCCGCGGAATTGCTGGTCACCTCCACGACCAGCCGGGCGCTGAACTGCTGCAGCGGCCTGTTCTGCCGCACCAAAAGCCTGGTGACCGGGATGAATGTTCTGAGAACGAAGATAAAGTGCTCTTTGTTCAAGAGCCAGAAGCTGTGGGCGTAGACTGTCAATAGTGAAGCTGTCCGGGAACAATGTGATGGAAGTGATAAGGGATTCGTACTCCGGGCCGAGTCCTTGAACTGTGGCAAGTAAGAGCTCTCGATTGGTCACTGGGGAATTAATAGAGTTGAGTGAATCAGCCAGATTTTTGATATCCCTCAAATATTCATCCATGCTTTGAGATTCTTTCTTTTTGAGATTATTCAAACCGCGCTTGAGTTCCATGGCACGAGCAAGGCTCTCGGCCATAAAACGTGTCTCCAAGCGCTCCCAAATAGGAGCAGAAAAATGGAGATCCCGAACTTCAATTAAAATATCCCGGGAAAGAGTAGCAAAAAGCCATGAGCGTACGGTTTGATCAATACGCAGCCAATAAGTATAGTCAGGATTAGTGGCACCCCGAATAAGAGCAGGCGGAGCCGAGAGTGAGCCGTCCAGAATCCCGATTAATCCATGAGAAACCAAGAACGATTCAAATTGCGTACGCCACGAAAGATAATCCTCCACGGTGGCGAGGCGTGTTGTGACTATATTAGTGACGTTAGGTGTCGAAAAAGACAGCTGGGAAAACAATTGAGCAAGCGGACTGGAGTTTACCGTTGTGGCTGCCGTGCGGAAGACTGGAAGCGGATCAGACGTTGAAAGCAATGGATTTGCAGTCCACGTCGGGCCAGAGAAAGCTGGTAAGACAGAGGAAGAAGCACGAGCCGGCGACGCAGATGGGGTCAGCACTGGTGGAGGAGGCAGCGACGGGATCGTAGATGTCCAGGTGAATGGCTCCGGCATATTAAACATGTTGTAAGAGTGAGGAGGCGGAAGCTGCATTCGTGATGAAGGACCAGGCGATATAGCAACGCCGGAGGAGGGCGGCTCCGAGATAACGGGCGCCATGGATGAGACCGCGGCAGAGGAAGTGATTGGCCATGAAGCATGTGGCTGCTCCGAGGTAGCGGGCGCCGAGGAAGAAGGAATTGCGGTCGACATGGAAAAAGAGGTTTAAAGAACCCTAGCGACTGATACCATGAGAGATAATAGTTTTTGGAGAATGATGGCTTACCAAAGTGGTAGCCCTAGAGGTGTATTTATATTAATGAAGAGATAAATAATTACACATAGGTCCTTAATACAATAATAATAATAATACGCTATTAAAAAGGACTTTGAGAGGGGTTTTGACTGTTTTTGGACATAATAAAGGTTGAGGTGTCTTGTTTTGAACAAAAAATGTATTGCTCTTGATTCATAGTTAGAGCAAAATTATACGAGCAACTTCATTAAAAAGGGTAATTTTGGGCACCATTACTTGATACTGTTGATTGAGGAGTCGCCAGAGGACACAATACATGAAAGCATAGCAAATAAAACAAGTTTGATAAGCGTTACTACGTATATGATATAAAATTGCATGTTTGGTTGTCAATAAACTTGCTAAAGAAAAAGGGAGACCAATAAATCCTAGCCAGCAACTTGGAAATTGCCCTAAATATGAGTACATAGGTTTTGAGATTTCATGCTATGTTTTTCTTCTCGAAATATGAGTCATTACTGTCATGATTGAAAAATATTGTTATTAATGACAGTAAATACTGCCATGTTAATGCCTAACATTGTAACTATTTGGCGGTAGTGATTTCAACGACACTAAATAGTGTCATATTACTCCTATTTCGAGAATAAAAATATAGTAGTCATATTTTGAAATATAAAGACTTGGTGGCTTTTATTTCGAGAAGTTTCTCCGCCACTTACGAAAGATAGGGACTGAATTTCAATATTACTAAATTATCTAGTTCAAGTAACTCGCTCATAAATCATAATATTCACTTATAAATAATGAAACTATGTACGTAGTATACACTTTGATTGCTACAATATAGAGCCCATTTATCTCAAATATCATTAAGCTCATGATCGAATATGTGATTATAGCGGAAAAAGTTTCAAAATACAAACTAATGGACTTTGGTGTACACGATACTCCAATATGAGTGTTAAAGTGTAGTACTTCAAATATTTGGCAGTAATAATGTCTCTAAGATGACACCAAATAGTGTTAGCAGATTCTACATATTTGTCATTAAGTTTCAGATTACATATTAAGGTTTTTTTACTTGAATTGATTTGAGTAGATCATCAAATTTGAAGGAAGAGTATACTTAAAACCGGTAGCAATTTTGTAATTTTGATGAAGATCATGACTTCTCTTAATTGAGCATTGATGCAATTTTGGTGAACATCAAGTATGTTCTTTTGATTATTAGGAGCGTAACAATGAGCACCATGATCTCTGTTTCATATCTTCTAATTAGCTTTCTTTTAAGTATTTTTTTTGTTTATAAAAAATTCTACCTCTATAATCAATTCTAGTTAATTTTGATATGTGAATCTAATATAGTATAATACATTTGCAAAATAAGTATCAAAACGTTCAAAAGCTCATGTGAGGCTCATCATCATTCATTTTGGGCGTTATATACTCATTTGTGTATACTCATTCATTTGTGTATGGTCATTTCTTTTACGTGTATTGGGATCAATAGCAGCAAGGATTCCTCAGTAACGAAGTATGCTCCCTTTGTCTGCGAAAATCACATGTCAAACAGCAAAACTGTCTAAGAAAAACAGAAAAAATAAAAGAATGGAAGAATAAAAGAGGGAGGAGAGGTACCTACGCTGGCGAGCCGCTGCGTTCATGTAGGGATGGACTCGGGCCGGGCCAACCGGCCCGGAACCGGACCGGCCCGCTACTGTGCGGGCCCGGACCGGCCCGGTGAACCGGTTCGGTTCCGGTTCGGGCCTCCCGGCCCGGTGGTATACCGGTCCGGGCCCGGGCCTCCAGTTTAGTGAACCGGCCGGGCCGGGCCCGGTTCGGGCCGAAATTTAATTTAATTTTTTTTGAAATTTTTTTTAAGTTTTGGGTTGGATTAAGTATTTTGGGCCATTTGAGGTGGTTTGGGGTGGTTTGGGGTGGAGGGGGAGGGGTAGGGGGTTAAATAAGAGAAGAAGAAGAAAAAAAAAACATTCCGGGTGGCCCGCCCCGACCCGGCCCGGTTCTGGCCCGGAACCGGAACCGGAACCGCCCACCACCGGTTCGGGCTCGGGCCTCCTTTTTCTGAACCGAGGCCCGGCCGGGCCCAGGCCCGAACCGGGCCCGAACCGGAACCGGTCCACCCCTGCGTTCATGCGGGAGGGGAAGCTAGGGGGTGGTGATCGAGCAGCGGCGACGAGCAGAAGTTGGAGGAGAAGGGGGCAAACGGTGAACAATGGTGACAAGCAGTAAGCCCGATGCGAAGTAAGATCGAAGAAGCGTGCAAAAGTCACCAGAAAGGGAAGGGCCAACAATACCTTTGCGCATGATACATCCGGTTGTATAATCAACTCACCTAGAAAAGACCAAAAGAAACTATACTTGTCTAGACCTTAACAATTATTTTTCAAACATTAAATGTCTAATATATTAATAAATAAATAAATAAATAAATAAATAAAAGGAAAATTGAAAATAATAATCCCAACTATGGCTGGTCCGCTGAAAATAATCTCAACTATTGATTATTTTTGAATAATCTTGACTATATAGAGTTATAGACTATCCACCAATAATGGTCCATGGTCATATACTCCGTATTACCTCTATAAAAAGTGAATTTTAAATAGAAATTAAGCGTAAAAATTAAAAGTTGAGATTATTTATAGGGATTACTTGTTATATCTCATCTCATTCACTTTAGAAACTACAAGAATTTATTCATAGGGACCATTATTGACGGAAGGTCCCTAAAGTTGGGATTATTCTGTTATAATCAATAGTTGAGATTATTATGAGTAGACCGCCAATAATTGAGATTATTACTACGAGTATCAATTTTTTCTAAATAAAATCCAAATAATGTATAACTATTTAAAATTCAACATGGCGAAACTATTTTTACAATAGACCGGATATGTAAGGGGGTGTTTGGATCTGATTCTCAAAACTGATTCTGCTCCTTCAGGGAGCAGAATCAGAAACTGGAGTGTTTGGCTGAAATTCCAGAAGCACTTCTGGTGCTCCAATTTACTCTTAGAATCAGTTTTTTTAGAAGTTGGTAGGTACCAACTTCTGAAAACTGATTCTGATTCTGCTTCTGCTTTATAAAAGAAGCAGAAGCAGAATGAGTTCCAAACACCCCCTAAATATGTTACTCCGGATGTTTCAGTTTGCCGTTGAACTTATAGTCGGTGTTAAAACCCCCCCTTTGATCGGTTAACTTTTTTTTAACCTCTCTTACCTCATCCTACCCCGCCGTTCGAGACATACCCTTAATACTCCATGTTCTCTTTGTCAGGAAGTGCACCATATTCAGTCTACAAGTTTCTTTCTTCTTTCTATGCTACTAGCTAGTAGCTCCAAAGGCAGACATTGCCACGGCGTCGTTTTACAGCTTCCTAGCTAGCTAATGCGAGCTCCATACTTCGACCGCTCTCTCTCATTTCCCCTTCTCTCGTCTCTCTTCATTCAATGACAGTATGGAGCTCTTAAACCCGTGATCCATTAAAGCTCTCACGTTTCCGGTAATTTCTTCTTTATCTCCTTTATTTTCCACTTTCAGACTTTTCTTTTCAGCGCTTATTAAATCTGTAATCTTGACTATATCTTTATCAGGACTTGTTGCTTCTTCACTTTCTTGGACCGCTGCTTGCAGTGTAATATATACTGTTACAATGTGTGTTTTCTAATTTCGATTTAGATCTTTTACCTACATTTAGGTACCATTTATTTGTATACTTTAATTTAATGTTTTTCTTTTTCATTTCATTTATTGCTGATAACAACGTTCTGGGACAGTACTATTTAGCTCTG